ATTTTATTTAAAATATTTTGTAGATTAAAAAAAAAAAAAAAAAAAAAATTTAAAAAAAAAAAAAAAAAAAAAAAAAAAAAAAAAATCAATTTTTTGATTTAAATTTCCTAATAAATTAATAAATCTTTATTTGTAATCATTGAAATTTATAATTTTACATAAAGTGTATTTAATTAAACCATTATATAAATGTCATATTAGTTTTATTAATTTAAAACAATTGCATGAGCAAAGAAGAATATCAGATCCGACCGGAATTTGACATAATGTCGGTTGGTTCTTCATAATGCCCAACTTCATTGCTTTCCACCTTACTGTGAATTTTAAAGTCATGCATATACTGTATTTATCATGTGCATTGTGTTCTATCTGAATTTTATTTTTATAGTTGAATTACATTTAGTGATAATAATACTGCAATGATAGAAATTACAGAAATTTCGAGATTGACATAAATTCACCTGATCAAGCGAAAAAGTTGAATTACAAATAAATTACGGTTCCTCATGGAATTGTTTCAGTTTTATTGCGCTCATCTCAATTTCAATGTCTTCACTTTTAACTTTATAGTTTCTGGTTCCCACGTTACAAAAGTAAAACAGGCCCAAAAAAGGACATCCCAAGCATCTAAACATCCATGGTAATTTGTTCTTCAAACCCTTATACGGTGTTGCACCCAATGTTGCTATGGCTGCTAAACAGGCAACTACGTAAGAAGGTGCGGGCTCTTGTAGTGTGTCTAACCAGCTTCCTAGGGAAGTAGAATTTTGCATATTGATGATTAAGAATTGGATGTGCAAAAGATTTCTTGAAGACGATTGATATGTGGGTCCCTTTAAATACGGAAAATAGGATGTTACCAGCGAAGAAAGCTTTTTCTCCGGATCGAATTGCTTATTTTATTTCTCCTTTTTTGATCATATAAAGAATTTCAGTTTGGATTTCTAGAAGAAAGTCCCTACTTTTTGGCGCATGGTAACATACAGTGATCTGTCGAGATAACTAAGTTGCGTACATCTTCAAAACAATGCATTTGTGTAACTGTT